CGTCAGGTAGTCAGTCTCCGCACTTCCAGAGAACTTTCGAGGTCAGCTTGGGGACCAATTGATTGGGAGGTGATTGCATTTGCGAGACGCCAAATCTTATCACGGTGTCGGCTTTTGTCGATTTTCTTACGTGAAATCAAATAGAAATCCCTCAGTAGCAAGATGTTCCTCCGATATCAGTCCACATCCTTATTTGACGATATCTCGGTCTCTTACTGATTCTTTCATTCTTTTTTTTAAAAAAGACACTTTTTCCTCTTTATTAGCAGTTCGCGTGTCGAACCAATTGCCGTTTGGTTGTTATTCTTGATCCATGTGCAACTAATTCCTCCAGCCAGCCACGTGACATCTCCGCGTTTGGAATCGACTTGTGTCCCCGACTGAGGCCGCCCTCCCAACTCCTCCCCCCCCCCAACGAACGGGCTGGCATCGGTTCCCCCTCCTGCCTGCGCAGGCCATGGCAACCGAACGCGCGCCATTTCTCACCTCTCACGCCTCAGAGCCTCGATTTCGAGGTGACTTCTGGCTGATCCCAACTTCGCCCGAAGGCAACCACGAAATACACAACACTTAACAATTTCATTGTTAAGCGTTTATTTACCATTGCGGTTGAGTTTGCACCTCAAGTATAAGAAAATATCTAAAAGCATATTTATTTGTTCATTTTTTTCTTCCATTTGGTATTATGGGAAAGGTCAAGGGTACTACTAATAGCATGATAAAATGTAATCTCATATCTAGAGCATATAAAATCGGGATCGATTGATGCAGCATTTACAGGTGAACACCAATCGATTTAGAAGGGGCGATTCACGGGAGATTGATAGGCCCGTTGGCGTTTTTGGTTGGTAGCAGTGATGGCGGATCGATTTAGAACAGCTGATCCAAGTGAGATGGCCCAATCGGATTGTCGGCTGGAATGTTCGCTGGCTGTTGCAGCTGGTGCCATTCGACATTGCCACCGTTGGCATACAAGTAGGCGCCTTGGGTGTCAGCAAAAGGCAGTTGAGCACCGACCCACTGTGCAGTGTAGGTGTTCTGTGGTTGCACGAAAGCACTGGCGTAAGGATCCGTGGGGTAGTCGTTGGTATGGACCGGAACTTCTGGCGGGTTTAGCACAGGTCCCGTTGAGTTTGGCCAGCCATTCTGCTCGGCGTCGCTCATCCCCGGTGTAGCCTCATTGAGCACCAAAGAAGCATTCAAATCCTGCCATGCCTGAGCTGATTGATGCGTTGCCGCTGAACCCACTGAGGAAGAAGTGCCCTCCATGTGGACGGTGTAGGAAGAATCGCCAGTGGACACCTGGGGCGTTGCCAGGGCTGGCGCGCTTAAATGTTCTTCGTCCGCGTCATCTTCATCAGCCATCAGCTCATTCCACTCGCTGTCTGAGAAAGCTACGCCATGACTAGTGTGTTCATTAGTCGTTAGGCCTTGGCTAGTCGATGGCACTGGCGATGAGATGGATCCAGGGACATCGTTTAACTACAAAGAAATCAAAAATCGATCATTAGTGGTGCCTCTGATACCCTAACACATTTCTGGGTACAATTTCAACCAACAGTTGCTGGAATCAATAATGTCAACTTACAGTAGTCGCGGAATCCGTCCGATTTTGCACAGGGCAGGATCTGGGCTTTTTCATTTTTTTTACTTTTGAGCGTCGGTTTTGGAACCAGATTTTGACCTAAAAGGGGAAAGTACAACCAGGCCTTAGACGCTAAGAGTACCGTTCTGTTAATATCGAAGTAAAAAAAGACAAAGTTATTGATTATGTGGGTGGACGAGTTGGAGTGTGTGTCTATGTGGGTGTGTGACAGGCCAGAGCTCGTACGCACAAAAACACACACACACACCAAACCAAGATCAAAGCGTCAGTGAGGTTCACATGAGCGTCCACTACTTCACTCCCCGCCCCCCTCCCTACCCCTGGGAAAACAAACCGCATTAGGAAGCAAAATGCGTCCACTCCACCCCTGGTTTGGCGTGCTCAGCAAGCTCACTGGGGCGTTCCTGCTTGCTTCTTCGTCAATCTGACAAATTTTAGTGGAGGCTGCTCAAACGCACGCTCCAATGGTAGCTGCCATGGCTTGTGGTGGTGGTGGTAGCGGCGGTGGTGTAGGGGGGAGTTGTTTTCTTACCCCTGGCACCTTCACCGCCTCTCTCCCTTTCCACGTGCAAGTCGAACACAAGCACACACACGCAGTGGATGGGGGATAATTACAGGGCTGGGGACAAGTGACTGCGTAAGATGTCCTCTCCCATAGCCAGCCTCCCACACCCAACCCGTCCCCTCCCCCCACTTGCTTTTGTTCATGAGACACACAGTCAAAGGGATGGGTGGACATTTTCACGTGCCTTTCAAGACGTTTACTGCCTCGGTAATTATATGCACTAAAGCAGAGCAGCAAGTGGGACAACAGCGTTGTGACTAACCGCAAATCAGGCAACAGGTACACACACACACACACACCCCAAGGGGTAATCAAAACCCTCGCACATAAAATAAAAAACTCAGCAATTATTAATGCCAATAAACAGAAAGCACTCTTCACATCTACCTGTGACACGTCTGATTTAGAATGCGGCCGCTCGAATGGCAATGCCGTGTTGCCAGGATTTAATTATAGGTTCCGGTTAGGACACACAAGACCAGTTGCTACCCCCGTGCTGATTCTACTGAGCGAACCAAGACAAGATAGGGGTCCTGCTTAAATCCACTCTCCCAGTCCACATGAGGCCTGTGTGTGACCGCATTCGGAGTGGTAATCAGACATCCGTGGACTCGTGATCGGATGACACTGAGACGTGGAGCTGTATTCGACTCCCTTGCATACCAACGGCGATCATGCAAAATGCCGTGATTTGTGTTCACGCTGAGACCACACACACACACACACTCACATTTATACCGCATACAAGAGAAATTACGGGGAAAACGTAAAACTGCCTAGTTGATGACATTCTGGTAGGTTCAAACACATGTCATGCCCCACCCTGCACCCGATTGACACGTGGGCACGTGACCTCAAGCTGGAAATCGAAGCGTCAGCGTGATCACAAGAGGAAGATGCCATATTAGAGTAGAGCCAGTAGCAACATAACCACGGACTAACCTGAGTTTGTGTCAGCCCAAGCTCAGCCGCCAGCTTAGCCCTTTCTGTGAGGTTTAGGTACTGCGTTCTGGCGAACACCTCAATCAGCCTGTCCGTTTGCTCACGAGTGTAGATTGTCCGTGATTTACGGGGTTTCTTGCGCGCACCCAAACCATTGCTAGCGCCTCTCGGCATTTCACCTGAAAACAAACCAAAAGGTAGTAAAATAGCCTGCAGCTTTATCGACTCTAACAAATTTCCCCTTCAGAAGGACAGTTACAGGCGAGTGGTTGCGTTTACTTCGATTTACTTAGTAGTCTAAGGTGCCAGAATTTGACAAGTTTACCTGTATTCTTGCACAACTATCACTAAAGAACCTAAGTTAGATTAGCAAGTATTTAAGGTACCACCTTGCCACCATTTAATCAAAGTTGTCCGCTTCCAAATCTCTGTTGTATTTTACTTTAACTGAACCTGCCAATCAGTCGAATTGTGCACCAGTTACTCAATGATTTACCGATATTAACCCAAAACGGACAGGCTTGATGTGCGGAAATTCTGCCTTAACAATTTTAACCAATGTACTTACTCTGACGGCGTCCTCGCCTCGTTGAATCCAACGTGGCAATGGATGCTGATGGAGTGGGCGTTCCGTTTCGATTGAAGCCCACGGGGCTACTGGAGTAATCCGACAAGCCAACTTGCGTCACTACAGACTCCTGCTGGCTTTGTGTGCTGCAAACCAATTGAGCAGTCACGTATTCGGCTTCAGTAGCCGGGGGTGCGTTGACCACATAATTGGATTGCTGTCCCGAGATCGGGTATTGCGATCTCGGATCTACACTGTAGGTCGGGGCTCCATTATTGTTTTGGGCATACCCGTTTTGGACAGCGTATGTAGTTTGACATACTGCTGACCGGTGTGAGGGAACGAGGGTCTCGTAAGCATTTGTCACGGGTACACTGTACCGCCGTGAGGCCTCCGCAACTGGCGGGTATGTGCTCAGCTGATTGTACTCGTTCGGCGTAAATTGCTGAACCATTCCCATCTGGTTAACCAGCTGGGATTCCGTTGTTGAACCAGCATAATTAATTGTTACAGGAACGCAGTCCTCATTGGGTGGAGGGGGTGGTTGAGTGACGGCGAGACCCCCATAGGACGAGTTAGCTGGGCTAACTAAAGATTGCGCTGTTGACATAATCGCGGTGTAGGGCTGGCGGTTGTTGTAGGGCTGTGTTTCAGTCTGCTGACCGCTTTCAAAGGGGCTGACGGCCAACAGGGATAGTTGTTGAGGCGTCTGGTAATATCTGTGTGGGTAGAAGCCAGACTCCTGTCCGTGGAACACATGTTGGAAATGAATCTCCCGATTTGACATATTGAAGCACCGGCAAGACTTGACCTCGTACACGCGCAATACGGAAACAATGACCAAAGCCGTCCTAAGGCCTCAATTTATCTTAGTTGAATGTGCGTGCGTGCGTTATGCATTCCTGTCCGCCAATGACGTGTGCGAAAGCAGCAATTTGATTGGCCCACGTGCGCGCCGATGCGTTGATTGGCTGACGCTTCCGAATGAAAATCAGGCGCGTTCATGTGCGTGCTGATACGCGCGGACGTTACGTTTTCAAAAAAAACATGATTCCTCTGTCGACCAAATAATTACTAGGCGTGGAATTTGCATTAATCCACTTCAAAGATTTTCACTTTCAACGCCTACAATGATGCGGTGGTAAATGTCAATAATCTAGTTAATATGGCCAGGGAAATAGTTATACATGTCTTCTGCTTTCGCCTCATCGTAGTTTAAGTCTAGACGCAAACTAAAAGCACGAGACAAACGTGAATTTGGCAGAATTCCTAGATTACTTGTAGCAACCTTAATACATAGCTATGACAAAGTCGAAATGACGGTGTCTTTGAGCATATTGTCCAGCGCTGTCCAATTTGTGGTCGCAGTTGTAGTTAAAACATGTTGCCCAGGTGGAGACGCGCGCGGTAGAATGGTTGAAAACGGTGCCTACGTCCACAAGGACTCTTTGGCGTACTAGAGAACTCAGGGGAAGCCTGGGGTAATTGTTTCACGTCACTTTCCATCTGTGCAAAATTTTGCGCTTCTGACCATCTGGTGCGTAGTTTTGGCACCCCACGTGAGTACCCAACCATCGCACCCCCGGTCTTTAATCAAAGCAAAAACACTAAATTCGATTTTGCTTAGCCCACCCCCACGTCTTCTTATTATTCGTCATTCCTATTTCCACTATATGGGAGCTGAGCATCTGCCGGCCTAAATTGACGCCACTCTATTGTGCCTCCTAAAAGCCCCTGCCATATCATTTGTGCCTAGAACGAGTGTCCACAGTCAAGTCAAGCCACTGCATTAGGCTGTGTATCGAATGGGGAAACACAAGAGAACAGAGGTGTTGCCTACTGAGCCAAGGACAAGCCCGTCTAGTGTTTACCGGAATCCCGATTCGGCAAACATCGTATTCCTGGTACTTAATTGCCAACTTCCGGTGTAGGAGAATACTCACAGGCACAAAATGTGCCGTAGGGTGACTTGATGTACGGCCACACAGGAATTAGCGTTGCAAACATTCGCTGCAAGAAAATCGCCAAGTCTGGAGTGTAGACGAGAGAGCACAGGTCAAGATTCCACAGACCATCGACTTAATTCAATGCCTGCTGGTTAATCGGTGTTCCTGGAACCTCGCAGGCAAAATTTCAGCCAACATTTGACCAATAGGTAGCCATTTCTGAACAAAATGAAGCCGTCTCGTTTAATTATGTCGTTCCTTTGGTCACGTCATCACAGATTCCACGAAGTTCGTCGGTGTAAACGAGACTACGGTCGTCGTCGCGTTTAGTGCCAGCATAGTCCACAATAAAAGTGCGTTAGTCAAGCAAGGCAGCTAACTGTCGAGAAATGAGGTGGAAGCATTTAGCACAACACGAGTGTAATAATAGTCCATTTTGCAGAGTGCGAAGCAATTATCAGTGTCTCGAGCTACCTTCTCGGCTTTATTAATGACCTTGGTGGCAGCAGTGGACGCCTGAAATTTGAAACGGGTGGATCGATACGAGGAGTAACCTTGAATCCAAGGTCAGACGACTAGAGATATCCAGGTGTGCCGTAAATTGCCGTTCATCTAACTCATAGAGACGCCCATCACAACTCAAGTATGAGCACAGAAGGGAGGAATTCACAGGACAATCGAACAAAGGCCTCGTTCCACATGGTGTGGTTGTGAACATCGCCATGCACGAAGGACTCGAACTGACTGCGTGAATCGGGAAGGTGAATTGGATCAATACAAAAGTGCTCTACCAACAAGAACACCAAAGCAAACATAACAACCGCCGTCTCGACTTCAATCCACTCAACCAATATCTGCTGTGGTGTTGCTGACAACACGCACGCAGATCCAGCAATCCTGACATGACTTGCAAACCACATTGGCGGAGGAAAGGCAGAAATGAGTTCAGGAGAAACGGAAGTGTCATCCAAGACGCCTTCACGATTCTCCGACTAGCAAACTACAAAAAAAAGAAATGTTTTTTTACACCAGCTAATACTTCTCAATGAACTTTGGGGCAGAGTTGCCTCAAGACAGCATCATTCGGCCGGCTTAGCACTAGAAATGACGTATTCATTTCGGTGAATGTACACTGCTTCTCCCTCACGATTCTGCGTTCCGTGATCTCTGTCGCCAACTGATCACCATCGTCTACAGACCTGCACGCTGATTACGCTTCTTCTTCTTCTTCTTCTTCTTCTTCTTCTTCTTCTTCTTCTTCTTCTTCTTCTTCTTCTTCTTCTTCTTCTTCTTCTTCTTATTCTTCCAGGCAATATTTACACACACAACGCCGACGCCCGACCACCATCAATTCGACAGGACAATGCAAGAAGCCTTCAACCAACATAGTGAGACCACGTTCGTCAAGCTAAGGCATTACTGTTACACGTAGGCCTTACGCATTGTAGCACAGTCAACTGAAAGCCGGATCGGGGGTGTGGGTATGCAATACCACTGTGACACCAGATTCGCTGATTTCGTGCATAAAGCCAGATGGTTGAAACGAAATGTCGACTGTGTGGAGCCGATAGGAGCACAAATTATTTTGGACGCCCACCACACCTCTGCTGCACCCAAATTCGACAGTAGGAAGCAGTACCGAGCAAACGCGAAGGAGTGTAGAGAAGAAGTGATTTGTAACGCCACTAAATACACCTTTAAAGCCGTCAAGCCTCTTCACAATTCCCAAGCATATTGGCGTACCTTTATTTAAGAAATAACTTATAACAGAATATTCTCGTCGATGAGGTTCAAAGAACACTCGCTATGTAGAATTAGTGCCGAACACAATTTTATATTCGGCTAGCTATCTAGTAGAATGCAATTTGCTTGAAAAAATATCGCGTTACTAGTAATATCGATGATCGCATTATCAGCGAGTCAATCGATTTCCAATCATAGCAACATCAGCTTATGCAACAGCCCGTTTCGCTCAAATTCTGCAAGGAGTCCAAAATAGAAAATTTAACAATGGCTGCTGTCGAGGTTTTATAAAAATTACGAATGTAGTAAATACCATTTTACAAAATACGACACAATTTCTCAGGTTTCACGGATACTCGGCTTTGTTAATTTACCTCGAGGCACCTACGAACGCCCGAAATTTAAACTTGACAGATCAGTACGAAGAGTAACCATGAATTCCCGTTCTTAGTGTTTCGGTAGTGAAAAATGCAGTCAGCACGGCCCAAATATCTGTAATCGGAAAAGCCGATTACACTGACAGCGTCCTAACAGCCTCCATTGTTAAATGTACGCATTCTCGAATGCCCGTCGTTCTGTCTACCTAATAAAGAAGCCCGACACGACTCACAAATTAGCACTGAACGCAGAAATTTACATGACTGAAGAACTCAGACTTAATTCTACATGGTGAGATTGTGGACATTGCAATGCACACCGAATTTGTGTCAACTTTGTGACTCGAGAAGGCGAATTTGAAAGGTATGAAAGTGTTCCTAAGTAAACCACTACCAAAAAACCAGCAGTAATGACAACAACCATTGTCTCGACTTCAATCCAGTCACCCCATACCTGCTTCCGTGGTGCTGAACACACGGACGCAGGCCCAGGATCATCTCCTACCAAGCTATCCACACACCACATGGATGGAACAAAGCTGAGGTAAGTGCCATCGACGTCCGCATGTTTCTGTGACCATTCTGTTAACCTATAACTTTAGCTGCACCTGAGGATGTGGAGTTCAGTTCTGTGGTTCCGCAGCCCGATCGCAATGACATATTCGCCCCTTGATTGAAAGTTAGTTTCTTTTCGTCTACCAACGTGAAAGCAGCTGTTTCGTTAAAGCTACAAATGATGGATTTATTGATAGCGGGACAATCGATTATCGGTGGCAGTAATACTAGCTTATGCAGCAGCTCATTTCGCTCAAATGTAGCACTTCCTTTATGCATAGATCGACACTGTTCAGCCAAGCTGTAACCACATGTCGTCACTGCAGGGTGTCCAGGCATGGACACGAGATGTGCTGATCTCACGTCACCTCGGTTGAGGAACGAGTCAAACTAACTAGTAAATTCTAGCGCCTTAAGTGCTTAGCACTAGAAATGAGTCAGCTATGATTAACGTGGAACCTAGTTGAGCTTATTCCTACAGGTTGCGTGGGTGGTAACCACGTCCACGTGTTCATTTTAGTACGCGAACACATCGCCCAGAGGCCCAACACGATCCAAATATTTGCGCAGAGAACTAGGTGCCAAAGAAAGGAAGCTGACACATCCTAGACCCCCGAATGTATCTGCGATCATTCAGTAAACTTATGATCACGCTTGGTTCCCTAGTCCGATGGCAAGGACATGTTCGGTATTTGGTTATAAATTAGTCCCTTTTAAACGTCCCGTATAAAATCAAGTCGCTGTAATTATTATTCGCTAGACAGTCTATTATCGGTGGTAACAAGCTAAAAAATACAAATAAAAATGTCGCTAAAGTTGGTAACTGAATTGACGCATAGTTGTTGGTAAATGGACACAACCTCCCTCACCAACTTTTTCATCGTATGACCTCTGTCGTCAACAGATTATCGTCTAGAGCTGTGGACGATGGTTGTCCTTCATCTACAGATGGAGAACAGCAACTTGACTTGTGCCTTTCCAAAATCGGACACGGAGACGCATAATGACGGCTACGTGAGGCCCTCGATACATTCGCATGTTCCCAAGTGTCGTTCCTATCGCATTGATGTCAAAATGGATGGGTCCAGTGGTATTAGAGGCAATTAAACAACTTGGTTCTGCTTGACGCGATTGTGGACATCACCAAAACAATCGATTTTGCCAGACCTGGTGAATCGAAATAGGAACCAACGGAGCACGAAAGTGGTGCTTAGCTCATCGCTGATAGGACTTGGACAAGACACACTCGCCAATCATCGAGTGTGTCGTCGGAGTTGGGGAGATATTCACTTGAAACTGCAATGCTCAATTACGACACCGATGACGATGCTGGTTCAGATTGTTGGAAAGAGTGAGTTTGATAGAAAGGAACGGGACACTGTCTGTAAAGCTGCATGATTCTGAAAGCATTTTATGAAGTACCGACTTATTGTCGACTTTATGACCGCAAAATCGTTTCATTCGCATGTTTTTAAGCGTGTTCTCTTTCAAATTTACATCGAAGATGGCGGAATCAGTGGCACTAAAGGCCACCGAAGAACCTGCTTCTACATGGGTAGGTAGCAGGCATCAACAACACGAAAGATTCACCCAGGCATTGTGTATCGATATAGGGAAACTGGCTGAAATACATTCAGCCTCATGGAAGATCCAAGTGACCTGTGCGTCCTCTGTATCGTCTTTTAGAGATTCAAAATCCCTCTTTTCACATTTTGTGCCAAAGATAACAATAATGTTCGGTTTTTAGTAACCAGACAGACCCTAGTGTGTTATCTCTGACTTGGAGCCGAATTCCAGCCAGACTGCGGTACAAAATGCGGATGGGATTTCCGAAACACGCCATTTCTAACGTCCGAAATTCATTTTTATCGATTGACATGGTCCTGACACCTCTCACCCCGCACACCGTGTTTTGCTCAACACCTAAATGTGTAAAAGCACCCGGCGTCAAAATTCCCCCTACCTGTTAGTCGGTCGCACCTCTCACAACATTTCACGTCCCAAGGTGTGATGAAGGCGTGCTAATGCTCTCCCAAAGCTGCACCCATGACCAAATAATGCTTCGAGTCGACAGAAAAGCTTTTGTTGACAGATTCACACAGCAGCAGCTTAGGCCTCGTTTTGGCTGAGGCCGGGTTGGACCTGACTAAGCTACCCGCAGATTTGACACCCTGTAACATCGACAACAGGCAAACGACAGAAGACGCGGGGATCGGGAGACAATAAAGCACGGCGCGACGTCGAGCCGCATAGCGGGGCCATACCGGGTGGGTGTGGGCTTCATGTGAGAACAAAGTCGGTTTGAAGTTAGGCGACACGGTGGTGGATGGTGGCGGCAATGCTATTTACTAATTTTGAAGTCGACTCTACCTGATGTGGGACTGATCGATTTCTGCTTAAGCGATGGTAATAGTGTGGTGATTCTGGGTATTGCTGGAATCAATACCAGTCTGGGCTGAAGCCGGCTCTTTCTGGTGGAAATTTCATGGAAACATTCAGGAGATTCGAAACTACGGTCGACTCACTGGAGAGTCGATCCAGGGGGAAATGTCTTGGGCGTCAGTGTTGCACTGCTAACTAAAGTACAATAGTACTGATCGCTTGCTGGAATTTAACTCCAAATAGGTGGAACTATGACACAAAAGTTTCCCATCGTCTGCGCACCTCCCAAGATCTGCACTCTTAGAAGCAAAACCTTAATTTAACTATTGTTTGAATATTTGAGGCTGAAGGAAAGCTTCACATCCACTTGTTTCCTCAAGATGATTGGCTTATCGGGATGTGCAAGGTAGAGTATCGTCAGGACGAAAGGCAACAACTATTCCGTGTTTCAAAGTACTTTCCGACGACTAAGTTGATCAGGGACGTGTGGGAGAACTTCACATCCCAAGGTCCAGGGGATCTTCTGAGCCGGGCGATCAGAGTAACGCTTTCATGCAGCAGCAGCAGCAGCAAGACTTTCCCGTTACTCTGTCCGGTAAATGGCCGCGGCCACTTTCACCGCTCAGTTTGTGCAATTGTGGGCTTCAGCGCAGAGCTATCACCGTCTGACGACTAGCTTGCAGGCGTTAGCAATAAAGCGCATCCTTCAAGTCCTTGTTCGACCTCAGTGTACCGGGGTTGCCTCTGGTCTACCTGCGACTTTTGCGTTCAGGATTCTCTCAACAAAAAATGCGCTTTTGATCACCCGATGTGTTCGATCAGCATACAATAGACTTGTTTCTTGGTGTTCTGACACCTTGTAACCCCTCCCTTCAAAGTCACAAATGACCGCCTAAATATATCGAAAGCAAACTGTACAAGTTAAACCGTACACCTAATATTCCTTGGCACCAGTAACAAGCTAGTCTATAAATGGGGTCTCAAATTGTTTTAAGAGTTTTTTTACTACAGAAAACACACCTTTGCAGATTCAAGTAGAAACTGTTTTCCAGCTACCAAAAACCTTCTGTTTGTGGACTTCACCACGTCTTACAAATGATTCCTCGAAGTTATGGTGTTGTATGGAGTGTGACTGCAGCCTCCACAGCTGTCAGTACCACTGCACCAACCTGATGCGTAAATCACGTCATCGCAGTTAGCAACTTATATTTACAATCACGGTCATCGAATGTGGTACAAGTTGTGATTTGAGGCTAGATCCACTACCTTTTGGTTGCTAGAAACCCCTGATATTTCATATTCCGGTTTACTAGATACTGCTAAAATCGCCATTTGGATTGTTACGTCAACTCCATTTCAGCTGAAAACGAATTTGACGGATGTGTTCCACAGCCAAATTTTCACCGTCCAAGGAGAATACACAGGTCCTTCATGCATTTTCGACGTTGTAATTTGCCTCAGTGATGGTCATCATCATTGTCAGAAGAAACATGGTCTCCCGTACCAATTCTTCAACACCGACCGATGTAGTCAGGGGCTGAGCCTTCAGATACCGAAGTGTGTCGTTCTGACAAGTGCGGGCGTAGCAGATGGAGCGCTGAAGGAGCCTTCATGATTAGTCCAATCTCCTAACACTCTAATTCAAGTCCAAGAGAATTTGTTTGACATGGAACAGTTCAATAAACGCACAGACTGACGTTTGCTCACACTCCAGGAACGGGAAGGATAGGATTAAGGGGGTGCTTCCCCCCGGCCGCCTCCTTGAAAGGCACGAGTTTCCACGCACACGGTAGCCCCGTTTTTTGTCATGTCAGAAATGCATTCGCACCGGGGCCACGCCACCAGCACTGCTTTTAGTGCGGACTTTTATACTGGAAGTATAATTGCCCAGTGGGAGCAGATGTAACCATTCGCCGCTGCAACGAACATAATTGCTGCTGCTGCTGCTGCTGCCCCCACCCCACCCTTAACCCCGTCGTCTGAGAGGCGTCTACAGAGGGGTGGTGGTAGTGTGGGGGAGGGGCGATTCCAGTGTTTGCAGTGCACTTGGAGGGGGGTCGGGGGCGGGACAGCTCGAACGGCACGACAATTACGCCAACTTTCCCAAGAGCTGAGGAAAAAGACGCTCACTTCGCGAGGCGCGCATTCTCAGCGTTGCACAGGCGACACCGTTCGCTTCCACTCCGTAGCCGCTTCGTGCCAGGACGCTGCAGCCGCACCGATAGTTGGTGAATAGCAGCTAAACTGAGTGCCAAGTGTGGAATGTGGTCGAACGTGCTTTTTAAGTCGTGTGCAATAAACCTTTCTCACCTCTGTTCTCTGCTTTGAGAATTTGGCATTGGCTATACCATGCACCCGACATGTTTTGCCTGACCTGAAGCTGTGGATTAACGTGACGTGGGGGATCCACACAAAGTCAGCTGGCACTCTCGTACCTATTTTAATTTTTCGCGTAGTCACTGTCTCAGCCGTCGTCTGTAGAAGACTGTTGGGGATCCACGATGCCCCAAGATTGCTCGTCGTTGGTTTCTGGCACAATTTACACTAATTCACCAACATGTGTTTTGTTACGCTTTTTATCAAGTCAAGGTCAACTCTGACTTGAATTAGTTTCACAATTGACAACCTACCCCGCCCGTGACTGACGTGAATACAGCTCTCTACACGAGCTCTGGTCGTGTTCTTGTATTAGCCTGGGAAGGTCGGTTCTAGCGTCAAAAAGGGATCAGGTATCGTTATTTGAGTGGTTTTCTCTTTTGTTACGGGCAAAAGCAACAAATTTTGGCGACGCAGGTGAGATAAGTGACAAAGGCATGGAACAATTACTCGAGCGACTAGTGTCAATGCTTGCAGATCGCCAGTCGTCTCAAACCGTTCCCACCAGTAAGCCGTCAATTGACGGCCTCACCAAGAGTATCTCGGAGTTCTCCTATGATCCGGAGAACGGCGTAACGTTTGAGTCCTGGTATCGGCGTTACGATGTGGATACAACGCGGCATCGAATGAGTGATATTGCGATGACTACTGCCGGACTAGTGGCCGATTATCGAATACCTTATTCTACACAAGTAGCTAAGACAGGGTGCTTCAGGAAAGAGATAATTTCTTAACTGTGACGTTGTTTGAACTGATGGTAGACATTACTGCCAACTTATTCGAAGGACGCGTAGTTGTCACTTACAAAACTACCTCAATAGGAGTTGTAAGATAGGAATTGAATTGAGTAAAATGCGGTAGTGCTGGTGTTGGCATTGAATCACGAATGACCTTAACACCAACCTCATGGCTAATGGCGATTAAGGCGTTCTCAGGATTAACTACTTTGCACTTGTAGGTAGCAGTTATTGGCCGCAAAGTGTTGCCGACGCGGACAACCTGTCTTGGACAGGTATTTTTAACCAAGCGGAGACAGTTGGATGGAGCGCAGTGAAGAGAAAACGTTTTTGGTTGGTTTTACGAATTCTTAGTACTTCCACTTGCGTTTCACGCAGCACAATGTTAGCTGGTCCATTTTGTGGTAAATCGCTTCTATTCTTTTCACGGAATTAGTCACGCCAAAGTGAAGAAAACGTCATTACTAATAGGAGACGCGAGCCTTGTTTCTTTTCCTAAAGACAAGTAATCGAAATCGAACATGTAACGTTGAGTCGAAGGTGCTTCACATGAACCCACAGCCTCACTGCAACCAATGACAACAAACGCCATTTGCCCGTCTAATGCTAATGAGGTACTAACAAGTTTCAAAAGCTGTGCGTTCCACTCCAGTCTGACTCAGCGCCGAATTAAAAGCATCAACTTGGTCTACTAGATAGAGGACACAGTCCGCACACCACAGGAAAATCCAACCGAGTTAACAAGGTGTGCTTCGTAGCCATGGCAACAAGTAGCCTTTCGTTGCAAACATGTAATCAGCATGATTGCGTTTGGCATTTTCAATTTATTTGATCAAATACGACTCAGAAGGCAATACTGCCAGACCAAAACAAAGGCGTTAAAAGTACTGAAGAATTAGACGCAAATGAGGTAAGCCTGAAAGACCACGAGTTAAAGATTGCTAAGATTTGCAGCCAGTAGGCCATAACGCTTCACTCAGCGTCGTGTGGTGTAGCTGTGGCGACGAATCAGGGCGCAGACATGTTGGACTAACTGGCCTCAGCCAATCCTGTCTTTCTGCGTTCCTCGTGATATTCTACATTGCGGCGTGACAGCAGCCACATTGTTGTTAATCCATTGGTCGAAGGTGAGAAGCACGCCATGGTGGCGACGTCATGTGACTGCGGGAGCGACTTCCGGCTGTGTGGCGTCACGCAGCCGATGAATGACGCGCCGGGACTAGGAGCCAATTAGCTCACGAGTTTTCCGTCTCCATTGAAGCGCCCCGGAACGGACCAACGGGAGAACAGGACGACGAGGACAAGGATATATAAAGACTGTTTTCCCCTTTACGCCCGACCTGTCCGTGACTAAATTGTTGCTTGTTTCAGCCTCCATTAAAGTAATCTCTTTTGCCTTTCTCTCTTCTTGACCATACCATGGGTTGGAAACATACAGTAGCGACGTCTGGGGGCGCAGACATATTGGACCACCCTGGCCTCAGCCAATCCTCGGTCTCGCTGTGTTCCAATGGCATGCGAGGAAGATATGCAGCCAACCACAGAAAGACACAAATGAGGCTCAGTTAATAATGAGCGGCGTGGCCAGCGTGGTGGAATCGGATGGACGGCGCCTGACGTGTGGTTCTGACTTGTGATTGGTAAATAAAGCCTGTTACGTTGTACCAATCTTCTTCCTATTAGGTCTCGGGTATTCTACAGTCGTTAACGCTTTCAGTTGGCATCCTTCTCTTCCGCCATCATTTGAATACAAGCCTGGGAAAGTGCAAGACAGATAAATACTCCACTTATTTCATTTAGAGTAGATAGAGTAAATCTTAAGTCTTTCCCGATTTTACAAGCCGACCTGGTTAAAGTAGGCTCTTTTCTCAGCACCAAGGCCCTCTCAGCATGCCCGACTGTGACCTAACACCCACTAAATTAACAGCTCCTGCTCTCCTCTTCCATACGGTCGTTGTAAAATCCTAAAGAGGATGACCCAACGCAGATTCCACCAACGAAACTGCACAGCGTGGTATGGAATAAAGAACAGCTGTCGAAGAAGCGCGGGTCAAATGCTCTGTGTAATTCAATTACCCGAGATTAGAAAAAGAACTGCACAAACCCACACCTTGCTGTACCGAAGATCCATGGTTTCGACGACGATGGAACGAATGATGTCCTCTCCACGTGCCTTCAACTCGTTCTTGGTGAGTCTGCGTCTGACTTTCTGCTTGTTAACTCGGACACGGTTCTCGGCCTGATCGTGTCTGATCTGCTGACCGATGTGCCTAAAGATTGTCACACGACTGACATGGATGGAGAAGACGATGAGCTCGGTTGCCGCACACACGACTAGGGGAGGCATTTTTAAGTCAACCACGCGACGTCTTCGCGTGTGAGATCGACTTGTGTCCCTGACTGAGGCTGTCCCTCCCACCTCCCCCGCAACGAACGGGCTAGCATCGGTAACCCCTCTCGCCTGCAAAGGCCATGAAAACCGTAAGGGCACCCGTAAGCAATCAATTACACACTTGTGGTTGCGGAGGAAATCATACCCGAGTATAACATTCCACCGACAATCCGGGGAGATTAGAAAAAGATGTGGTGCCTCGATCGAACCGACCTTCACCCGGGCCATAACAGACCCAGTAATGTTCAGAGTGGAGTTATTCGCCGCGAGGACCACAGGAGTGGAGGGTGTCAGCCGTGGAAGATTTGTGACGGCGGGAAACTTGGGGTTGACTATGGACACTGCTGCCCCCGTGTCGATGAGGATGGTAGACTTATGAGACTCTATGTAACCTTGGACCGCCAGCGCGTGAGAATCAGTAAAAAGAACAGAACTGGAGGGAAAAGGTAACTCACTTGCTGGGTTGTGTCCGCAGCGCATGGCCGCTTTGACAAAGAGTCTGCAGTAACCACACTTGGAGGGGTCGGGGTCGTAAACGAGTGTGGG